ACAAAACTTGTTTTCTTTGCTGAAAAGACTTGAAGTTGGATTTCCATTTCCCTGGGAAGAGACAACTAATCCAGTCCTTTGTGCCCATTGAGTGGCGGTTGCTAGATCACTTCAGATGTGGCAGGAATGATGCACAACCTTGAATGCAAAAACTTGCTAGCTGAAATGCAACGTAAGGAGAGAGGAATAGCTTTTCTGGCACTGCGTGGGTGAGCTCACGCTCTATGGGCGATGCAGAGCTGGGGGATGTGTGCTGCCCCATGCCAGCTTTCCTGAGACCATGCTGGGGCACATGAAGTACAGAGAGACATCCTCAGCTTTCCCAGTGGATTTGAGTACGAGGCAAAAAGGCGTTCGGAGATGCAGCCAGCTTAAATTCCACCTTGTCCTTGTGCCTTATATTTCCTGCTGGCTGCCTCTTGGTCTCCAGAGACATCTTGCCAAAGGAAATATTGGGCATAAGGCTATAGCTTAAATTGAGGTTGACTAAATATGGGTCTCAGCATTCATCTGGGAAGTAAGTGGGGAGTAACTAGGGTACTGTAAATTCACTCCCAGACTTGCTGAGCACTCACTCAAGCCCTCAGAAGTTGCTCACCTGACTTTTTATGGCCAATACCTGGAGTACACTAGTAGAAGTAGGAAGCAGTTATTACGAAAGATTGAGTATGCGTGTTGAGAGTACACGTAGGTGAACTCGCCTCAAAGAACCAAATAAATGAATGTAAGAAGATAATATTTCTAAAAGCAATTATAAGGCTGGAATCGTTGCTGTGAAATAAAGTTTTAAATAGGTATTACAGGCAATATAGTCTGTCCCATGGTGCCTTAGAAAAAACATCATAGTCAAAAAGCAGCTCTTCTTGCTCTGGTGTGGTGAGTTGACCCTGGCTGGGTACCAGGTGCCCACCAAAGCTGCTCTATCACTCCCTTCCTCAGCTGGACAGGAGAGAAAATACAACAAAAGGGTCATGGGTTGAGATAAGGGCAGGCAGAGATCATTCACCAATTACTGTCGCAGGCGAAACAGACTCAACTCGGGGAAATTAGTTTAATTTATTGCCAATCAAATCAGAGTAGGGTAATGAGAAATAAAACCAAATCTTAAAACATCTTCCTCCCACTCCTCTCTTCTTCCCAGGCCTAACTTCACTCCCAATTTCTCTACCTTCTCCTCCCCAGCAGCGCAGGGGGATGGGGAATGGGGATTGTGGTCAGTTCATCACATGTTGTTTCTGCCGCTCCTTCCTCCTCAGGGGGAGGACTCCTCACACTCTTCCCCTGCTCCAGCGTGGGGTCCCTCCCACAGGAGACAGTCCTCCATGAACTTCAACGTGGGTCCTTCCCACGGGCTGCAGTTCTTCACAAACTGCTCCAGCGTGGGTCCCTTCCACGGGGTGCAGTCCTTCAGGAACAGA